AATTCCCCAGGGAAGCTGTCTAGGCCACTTACTTTTTTCAATCTTTACTAACGACATGCCAGGCTTTGAGTAAAGCCAGTGTGTCTATGTATGCGGATGACTCAACACTATACACGTCAGCTACTACAGCGACTGTAATGACTGCAACACTTAACAAAGAGCTAGTTAGTTTCAGAATGGGTGGCAAGGAATAAGTTAGTGTTAAATATTTCAAAAACTAGAAGCATTGTATTTGGGACAAATCATTCACTAAACCCTAAACCTCAGCTAAATCTTGTAAAGAATAATGTGGAAATTGAGCAAGTTGAGGTGACTAAACTGCTTGGAGTAACCATGGATTGTAAACTGTCATGGTCAAAACATGGGGAGAAGTCTGTCCATAATAAAGTGCTACTCTGCCTTCTTAACAGTACTATCAACAAGGCAGGTCCTACAGGCCCTAGTTTTGTTGCACCTGGACTACTGTTCAGTCGTGTGGTCAGGTGCCACAAAGAGGGACTTAGGAAAATTGCAATTGGCTCAGAATAGGGCAGCACGGCTGGCCTTTGGATGTACACAGAGAGCTAACATTAATGACATGCATGTCAATCTCTCCTGGCTCAAAGTGGAGGAGAGATTGACTTCATCACTACTTGTATTTGTGAGAGGTATTGACATGTTGAATGCACCCATGCATACCCCACAAGACATGCCACCAGAGTCTCTTCACAGTCCCCAAGTCCAGAACAGACTCTGGAAGGCACACAGTCCTACATAGAGCCATGACTACATGGAACTCTATTCCATGTCAAGTAACTGATGCAAGCAGTAAAATTAGATTAAGAAAACAGATAAAAATACACCTTATGGAACAGCGGGGACTGTGAAGAGACACAAACACAGGCACAGACACATGCATACACACACACGATAACATACACACTAAATCACTAGATCAATGATAATTAAATAATAAATATTATGTTGCACCTTTAACCAATGGTCTAACAAATGAACAACTCTTACAAATAAAGTACAAAGACTTAACTTTTGATTTTCTTTGTTAAGACATCCTCTATATCAAATTTCAGCCAGACCGCCCAGCCAGCCCGGGCCACCTGCATGCCCGATCCCCACCAGTCTAGTCAATAACTCAACTCTCTCCCCAACACAGCTTCCTTCCCATTTCTTTTTTTTTTTTATGTCTCAAGGGAAAGGTTTGGAAAACAAAAGTTGAATGGAACCCCACATACATCTACACATTAGCACACAGAAACAGCACACCCTCCATATAATTCATACCATAGGCCTAATAGTACTGTAGAGCTCTTTTTACTTACACACAATATAGCTGGGTCACCCCGTCCTGCCCCTAGGGGTCCACGGCCCTGTAGCGCCCCAACCCAACACACCCCACTCAGCTTTAGGATCTTAGTGAAACATTCATTATTGGTTTCAGGTGTGTTAGGCCAAGGCCAGAGTGACAACAGTACAGCAGACCCCCAGGGCCAGGACTGAGCGGCCCAGCAATTTTAGTACACAGTTTCTTCTGATAACAGTCTCCAGCATGAACATTTACAACAAACAAAAACTGGGAGAAGGGAGAATCTGTAGAGATGCTGAGATAAAAGGACATACTCTTTGCCAGAACTCAGCCAGCCGTCAGAAGACCGTAGCATATGCAAATATGTCCCCTTTTGCGGAATAATTTCTGAGTGCATTATATTCAGTTTCACTTGCATATAGTACATTCTATGGATAGTAATTATGTCTGAGATTTTATGACTGGGCATTCTAACATATCTGTATCCATTTATCATCATCAATAGCGTCTCCCAGGTCTTCCTCACATTTTTATCAAGCTTTGCTACATTTAGGAAATCAGAGGTTTGTCAAACTGCCTTAAAATAGGTTTAATCTTTGAAGCTTCTTGCTTGTCCAGTGTTTGCTGTACAGAGAGAATAAAGTGTTGTATCGGAAAAAGTTCACCTCTGCGCTGTCACAGACTGGTCTTCCCTGGCTGAACCTGATGAGACCCCTGTCACCATCTGATCCTGCTCAGATGAGGCATGACAAAGAATTACCTTGGTGTACATTTATACATCATATTATCCATGAATAGAATCACTGGTTCAATAATTGAAATGACCATTATTCCCAGATCCCAGACTGTAGCCTACCCATCAACTCAAGATGGAACTTCATAGCCATTCACTAATTGTTATAATATACTGCAAAATTCAACTGAGCTCCGTAGACTGGTCTTCCCTGGCTGTCTGACCCTGCAGGGACACCCGTCACCATCTGATCCTGCTAAAACATGATGAGCATAGTGTTGTGTACTGACTGTGCACTATGACAGTGAAGCCTGTAGAGCGGTCTATATCGTGTCAGTGTGAAAAGTAGGGCATTAGCTCGGGAAATTGACAGATCAGTAACGTTACATTACTATACTTACTAATAAAAACTAACATTGTGCTGAAAAAACATCAGAATATTGGTCTTCAATCGTTTGGCAGATGGTTTCATTGTTTGAATCAGGCCTAGTTTGATTGAGCAAAAATAATAGCTAAAGTTAGAGAGCTAGCTAGCTAACGTTAACCAACTTTTGGCTAGCTCTAGCTAATGATACATCATCAAATTACTTCTGTTGAAGCGGGAAAAAACAAAGGCTACAAAACATTTCCATACACACAACAGCTGTTGATACTGCTACCTGACAGATAGCTAGAGGCTAGCTTTAGCTAAACTGGCTGTGGTAGCTACTAGCTCAGTCGAGAGGGGATGAAACATTAGCTAACGTAACATGTCAGTTTCTACTAGCTCAGCACTGGGAATACATACAGCAGTTACCTTGCCAGCTAGATCAGTCAACTAAAGAGCAGCCAGTTTCTGCTCTGCTTGCTTTTACAACTAAGAGAAAAAGCGCAACTCAGAGAGCAGCTGCCTCTGTTCATCTCTCCGGTGCTGGTCCTATACGCCAGCGATGTATGCTCTGTAGTGTCCGAGCAGTCCTAAATCGAGCCGCTTTTAAATCCAGCAGGCAGAATATGCAATTTTAGAATGTCCCCTCCGTCTCCATTGAAAGTTGCGCCCCTGCAAAAAATACATGCCATTGCATGAGCCACATCAGTTAGCATCATTTGAATGAACAATCTACATTAACATGGAAATTATTACATAATATAATATGCCATTTAGCAGATGCTTTTATCCAAAGCGACTTACAGTCATGCGTGCATACATTTTTTGTGTATGGGTGGTCCCAGGGATCAAACCCACTACCTTGGCGTTACAAGCGCCGTGCTCTACCAGCTGAGCTACAGAGGACCATCACAACCATTGCGAGTGTACCCATGAGTTTACCAATCAAATTTCCAGGCTTAGAGCACAGACAGAACAATGAGCCAGATAGTTCAACGGATGTATAAATGTGAAGCATCCGGTTGGTGTTTCCACCACTACCAAATATGGTGATGAGAGGAAGCCCAGTGGCCGGCAGTGGGAGAAGATGGAGCAAGATGGATTTTGGCCGACATTCTGCAAATTTTCTCATCGATGAAACATTTGATCTACATACAGTTTTCTGTTTCCAAAACTAGAATCTGTAACAAACAAAGTGGACTGTGTTTTGTAGACTTGACCCTTTGTCACAGTTTTAAAAAAAACTGCATTGTTGAGAAGGAGTGCAAGGGCTAAGGACCCTGGGACTAAACACCTCCCTCTGCAACTGGATCCTGGACTTCCTGACGGGCCGCCCCCAGTTGGTAAGGGTAGGTAACAACACATCTGCCACGCTGACCCTCAACACGGGGGCCCCTTGGGTGCGTCCTCAGTCCCCTCCTGTACTCCCTGTTCACCCATGACTGCATGGCCAGGCACGACTCCAACACCATCATTAAGTTTGCTGACGACACAACAGTGGTAGGCCTGATCACCGACAATGATGAGACAGCCTATAGGGAGGAGGTCAGAGACCTGGCCGTGTGGTGCCAGGATAACAACCTCTCCCTCAACGTGATCAAGGCAAAGGAGATGATTGTGGACTACAGGAAAAAAAAGAGGACTGAGCATGCCCCCAGGTTGAGAGCTTCAAGTTCCTTGGTGCCCACATCACCAACAAACTATTATGGTCCAAACACACCAAGACAGTCGTGAAGAGGGCACGACAAAGCCTATTCCCCCTCAGGAGACTGAAAAGATTTGGCATGGGTCTTCAGATCCTCAAAAAGTTCTACAGCTGCACCATCGAGAGCATCCTGACTGGTTGCATCACCGCCTGGTATGGCAACTGTTCTGCCTCCGACCGCAAGGCACTAGAGAGGGTAGTGCGTATGGCCCAGTACATCACTGGGGCCAAGCTTCCTGCCATCCAGGACCTCTATACCAGGCCGTGTCAGAGGAAGGCCCTAAAAATTATCAAAGACTCCAGCCACCCTAGTCATAGACTGTTCTCTCTGCTACCGCATGGGAAGTGGTACAAGAGCGCGATGTCTAGGTCCAAAAGGCTTCTTAACAGCTTCTGCCCCCAAGCCATAAGACTCCTGAACAGCTAATCATGGCTACCCGGACTATTTGCATTGATTTGATTTGATTTGAATTGAGTTATTGCACACACGCACTTCACAAAGTAGGCGTTCCCTAACTAAAATATGTAAATAAATGCTAGAACGCGCCAATAGGATCTACCTCCTTGCTTGTTCTGCCAATTATGATTAATTTGCTCCCATTGAAAAGGACTCTTTCTCTTTTTCACTCTGGTCTATCTTGCGTTAGTTATAAAAAAATATTTGGTTAGAGGGTCCAAGCCCGTTCTATTCATTCTTATTTCTATGTCATACACCACATCAGCTTCCAAACCAGTGATGGTCAAAAGGTTTTTATAACGAGCCTACGTATATCGACGATCGGCAAGAAGGCCGACGAAGCTGATCATAATGAACAATGCAGATAAATGACAGCCAGTTTAACGAATCATAACGTCTGTGGGATGAAACCCCACCCACTTCTGGATCAGCTGACTTAGGAATGTTCGTGTTACAAAACACGGATGTTTGGCGTTGTACTCGAGACGCAATCTCAAACAGAGGAAAACCCTAATAATTTTGGACATTTGGTAGGCTACAGCTTGTGTATCGTTATCGGAGTATGTCATGCTATGGATCCCACAGTAGCGCCAATGCAAAACGAAACTGAGACAGAGTAAGTTGTAACTCATGTGGTTTAACTATCCTTCCAGACATAGCCTACTGTTTTCATAATCTTTTGATGTGTTAATGTTATACCACCTTTAAATGGTCTGACTATCTAATGTCTGTCAAAACAACTTTTGTTGTTATGATGGTGGCTGGCCGACTATGACATTGAGACTAGGCTACATAACATCAACGTAGACTACAATGTAGGGTCGCTCTGTGTTCATTGAAGAGCAGTGCAGCGCAGCGCAGCAGCGACGCTGTGTGGGGGCAGCCAGTAACAGTGAGTGACACAGCACTTTTCATCATGGCCCCTGCATCGCTGTAAAACGGCCCCCTCCTGTGTCAGCTGCTTTATAATTATAGGGTCAGGAGTTTTCCCTGGTCAGGTCACGTGGTGAGAACTCCTGGCTGTATAAATGTGTCTGAGGTCCCTCAAGGGGTCCTAGCTTCAGGTGTGTTTGATAGGCTGACTCTTAGACCTTTACCCTACTCTGTGTCTCTGCACTGTAGTGATCATGTCATTAGTGTCATAGTACAGTGTTTATGTTCCTGACAGCTATAGTAACACATTGTTTATCATCTCTCTCTTATCTTTCCATCCAGGCCATACTCAGGGTGGGGCTGGTGGCCTTCCTGGCGTCCGACTTCCATGTCCCTCCTGAAGAGCACAGAGGCCAAGATCCTCTCCTGTAAGACCATGTTAATAACTAATAATCTTACTACTTCTATATTTTCATAGGAGCAAAATGGTTGACTTGTTGTTTTATTGAGTAATACTTCACTTGTCTCTGACCTATTTCTCTGTGTGTGTGTATGTGTGTGTGTGTCCCAGGTATACAGAATGAAGTGTGGTCCAGGTTTGTCACGTTACCCAACCAGGACAGGATCTGGACCCTCACGTTGACCAACAAGACTGCCCGCAAACCTGTTGAGCAAGGTACTTTCATCCTCTCCTTCTCCTTGTCCCTCAAGGCTTTTGACATATGAACTAGCTTTTATCTTGGTATTAACATATTGTCTGTCCCTGTCTGTCTCTCTGTCTGCTTCTCTCTCTTCCTGTCTGTCTCGCTGTCTGTCTGCTTCTCGCTCTTCCTGTCTGTCTCGCTGTCTGCTTCTCTCTCTTCCTGTCTGTCTCTCTGTCTGCTTCTCGCTCTTCCTGTCTGTCTCGCTGTCTGCTTCTCGCTCTTCCTGTCTCTCGCTGTCTGCTTCTCGCTCTTCCTGTCTGCTTCTCTCTCTTCCTGTCTGTCTCGCTGTCTGCTTCTCTCTCTTCCTGTCTGTCTCTCTGTCTGCTTCTCTCTTTGTCTGTCTCTCTGTCTGCTTCTCTCTCTTTCTGTCTGTCTCTCTGTCTGCTTCTCTCTCTCTCTTCCTGTCTGTCTCTGTCTGCTTCTCTCTCTCTCTTCCTGTCTGTCTCTCTGTCTGCTTCTCTCTCTTCCTGTCTGTCTCACTGTCTGCTTCTCTCTCTTCCTGTCTGTCTCGCTGGCTGCTTCTCGCTCTTCCTGTCTGTCTCGCTGTCTGCTTCTCGCTCTTCCTGTCTGCTTCTCTCTCTTCCTGTCTGTTTCTCTCTCTTCCTGTCTGTCTCGCTGTCTGCTTCTCTCTCTTCCTGTCTGTCTCTCTGTCTGCTTCTCGCTCTTCCTGTCTGCTTCTCGCTCTTCCTGTCTGCTTCTCTCTCTTCCTGTCTGTCTCGCTGTCTGCTTCTCTCTCTTCCTGTCTGTCTCACTGTCTGCTTCTCTCTCTTCCTGTCTGTCTCTCTGTCTGCTTCTCTCTCTTCCTGTCTGTCTCTCTGTCTGCTTCTCTCTCTTCCTGTCTGTCTTTCTTTCTATGTCCTCCCTCCCATAGCCCCAAAGAAGACTCCTCTGGTGATGGTCCATGGGTTTGGAGGAGGAGTGGGTCTGTGGATTCGTAACCTGGATGCTCTGAGTCACTCTCGGCCAGTCTACGCCTTCGACCTCCTGGGGTTCGGCCGGAGCTCCCGACCCCCCTTCCCAACAGACGCTGCCCTGGCCGAGGAGCAGTTTGTCAACTCCATGGAGCGGTGGAGGGAGTCTGTAGGCCTGGAGAACATGATTTTACTGGGACACAGTCTGGGGGGATACCTGGCAACGTCTTATGCCATCCAGCACCCTTCTAGGTGAGAGGCCATGTTTTTGATCACTCATGGTGATGTCACAGTATTTATGATGGTATTGCCTTAAAGCTAATGATTGATGACGTACAGTATGTCTCCTTATGTACGGTGATAGTTAAAAAATCAATCTACAATGCAATTTATTAGTAATCATTAGGACCATGATTCCTGGTCAGGAAAAACTCCACGACCAATTTTATTATAGTAATGGAATGATAACTTAGATTGTGTCTCCCCTTCTTTAGGGTGCGTCACCTGATCCTGGTGGACCCGTGGGGTTTCCCTGAAAGCCCCCAGCCAGGGGTGGAGACCCCGGCGGGCCAGGGGCCAGAGGTGGTGAAGAGGCCGCCCCTTCCCCGCTGGGTGAAGGCTGTGGCCTCGGTCGTCTCTCTGTTCAACCCTCTGGCTGTCATCAGAGCAGCAGGTCCATGGGGTGAGAGACACTTTATTCACATTCAGATTGCTTATTCAAAGCTTTCTAAATTTTCTCGTGTTATATTAATACCTCCATCGTTCTCTTTGTTTTCTCTTTTCCTTTAATTCTGTCAGGTCCAGGGTTGGTAAATAGATTCCGTCCAGACTTCAAGAGGAAATTTGAGGACTTGTTTGATGATGATACCATGACAGAGTACATCTACCACTGTAATGCTCAGACCCCTAGGTACGTAGAGTCACTCCTTGGCTTGCATTACATATCACCACTATTAAACTGCATACTGCGTTCACATTCTCCTGAGCCCATAGGGACATGGCCTTACTTTACTGGCCTACATTTGCCCCTGACTCTGAATGACAAAACATTTTATTTCTCCCCAAACCTCTTGCTTTATCCCACTGTCCATGATCCTCTTCTCTCTGTCCCTCTCAATCCTCTCTTTGTCCTCCTTCTCTTCCCTCTATCCCCAGTGGGGAGGTAGGCTTCAGGGCCATGTCAGAGTCCCTGGGCTGGGCCAAGAGGCCCATGCTGCAGCGGGTACACCTGCTGCCCCCCTCCATGCCCCTTACCATGCTATACGGTTCACGCTCCTGGGTGGACAGCGCCTCGGGGGACAAGGTGGCCCAGATCAGGGTCCAGACGGCCACACACACTGTGGTGAGTGGGAGGGGGATTTATCTTATTTCATATCAGTTTTGAGGTCTTAAAGACGTACAGATTTAGAGGATAAAACATATCATACAACAACACATAATACAATACCCATGTGATCATTCCTGTCTGTCTCTCTCTTCAGATGATAGATGATGCGTCTCACCATGTATATGCTGACCAACCAATGGAGTTCAATAGAGTGGTCCAGAACATATGTAACAATGTAGACTGAGATGCATACATGACTGACAAACCAAGATGTCGTGTGTGTGTCTTGGTCTGTACCTCGCTAGTGCCACACATGGCATAGAACTGGCTCCATGGTGAGAGATGTTTTTAAGATGGCCCTATTCCACTACGCTCTTATCAATGGACACTAGTTGGCTAAGTGGTTATAATATATGCCATTTAGCAGACGCTTTTATCCAAAGCGACTTAACAGTAATCCGTGCATACATTTTACGTGTTGGTGGCCCAGGAGTCGAACCCACAATCCTGCCGTTACAAGCACCGTGCTCTACCAACTGAGCCATGCAGGACCAATTGGAATGCTTAGGGCCAGGAACTGACCATGTGACCTGAGCAGGAAATAGTCCTGGGCAGGTTACATGGTCGGGAGAACTCCTGGTTCTGCTCCCATGACTGTCAGGGAAACCAGACCCTGCACTGAAGGTCCCCTGTGCAGGTTGGGATGATAGGCAAGGCCTTGACAATGGAGTGTTTACCATTCAAACACTTATTCAGTTGTATTTTATCAGTACTGTTCCTATAAGTAGGGCAAGGAGTTTTTCCATGTAGTCTGGGAAACCCCTAGGATCTAGCTATATGCCATACACAGTAATCCATAGTCAGTTAGTTCAGATTGCAGCCTTCCGACTAAAGCGAACTTCACAATTCTGTTATTTGCATGAATCACATGTTAGTCTGTTGTTACGTTATGGAGAGTCAATGCAATAAGAGTTTGGGTGGAACACTCAAAATGTTCAGGGTATATATTTATGTTTCTTTCTGTAACTATGGTAAATGCAGCATGCTTTTATCATGTGCCTGAGTTGGACAGTAACTATGTGTTGTAATTTTCTCTGTGACCTCTGATCTTCACAATCAAAATGTTTTCTGTATTTTGTACTACTACATGGATTCAATATAAATGTATATGATTAACATAATGCTTGTCTCTGATCTCGTCATTGATCTGTCCGCTGTCAGGCGTCTGTCTCTGTGTTTCTCCATGTCGATGATGAGGGTATTCAACCATCTGATTGATTAATTGATGATTGCTTGATGTCTTTTTTTTGGTAATTACTATGCACCTCATTTTGGCTTATTTAAAAAAGGGGGAAGTATATAGTTAGTAGATTTGTGCTCTCCAGAACCTAAGCTAAGGATCTTGCTACTATGACTGCTCTGTGAGATTGAAATGCATGGTAATATAATATATTTCTTAACATGACCACTAGAGGTCAGCATTTTGCTACCTAAGGTACTGTTCTGTGCAGGAGGTTTGGGGTGTTTCCGCTAAATTCCTTGCACTGCACCACTGCTTTTGCATGCTGGAGTCCAATAAGGGGCGTGAGAATGAGCCACATGGATCCCATTCATATCAACTGTAAATGCACTGTAGAGATTCAATTAGATGCATGAAATGTTCCATTTCCACAGGATAAAGTGTGCAAGACACACCTTTGCCTGAAGCTATACAATTTACGTTGATAATAACAGGTTAATGCATAAGCCAAGAATTCTGGATTAAACAAAGAGACTTGGATGCAGATGGAACGTTCAGCTTCTACAAGTATGTAGTTGCTGCTGTGAATGATGCCATTTTTCTGATCTCCTCACACCTTTCCAGCCAGTCGGGGGCTTGTCTTCCAGGGAGTCACGCACATAACTCAACAGGGAACATCATCACTCTGTAGTTGTTTTATTAGCAAATATATTGACAATAGAAAAAAAATACATGTATATTGATAAATTAATACAATAAAAATGTAACTCTTTAAAACAGTTTCCTTCCTTGTATTTTATGTGCAGGGGTATATAAAAAACAAACTCATTAACACTAGGAGAGCAGAGCAAGGTCAACAAAGGCTTAATGCTCAGGAGCTGACTGTTGTTTGTTTCATAAGAGCACTTTACGGCAAGGAACCACAATGACCAATGAATGGGCCATAACACTGACTCGTTTTTTCACAAACATAAACACACATTTAGAAGGACCTTTTTAGGTATAACCCTCATAAAATCTAACTAGTGCTTCACCTTCATATAAGCCCTGTAAGATACAATTTGACCGACATGTTATGCTACATACATTGTCTAACATGTTGATACAATACATACTTGAACACTAACAATTGTACTATAATGCTTATATACTGTGCATTTATAAAATGTTTTTATGACAGCACTATGACATCGTTTGTTCAAAAATACAGTAATATTAGATCATGTGCAGCTAGATAATTACATTTACCACAGGATTTTTCACAAACCATTTCAATGCCCTAACAATAGTTTGATGTTTCTTCTTTATAGGTGTGGACAGCCCTTACAGTAACAACAAATCCATTTCAGAGCAAGGCACACTGGTAACTAGGATATTACGTGAGTGTCAAAAACATTAGCGCTGGTTAACAATAGTTTACAACTTCATCCAAAGATCAGGATATTTCCATCATTACATGTCAGCATGAAATATCAAATATATCAAACAATCCTTATATTCAAGTCATGGGAGAACTGAATAAAAGGTTTCCCATTTTCTTTGATGAGACTTGAATGAAAGGCCAGGTAAGTGGACAGGAGAGAGCTGCAGGCTCCCTCTCATTGGTTCTGGACGTGGATGTCAGCGACGCCGTGCACCTGTGTTAGCTGTTTACAGTCCAGAGCCGCTACCAGCTTCCTGGGCCCAGCCTGGGTAGGGATGAAGTGTTCTGTCAGAGTCACCGTGGAGTGGCTTCCAACATCACTGAGAGAGAGAGACAGAGAGAAAGGAGGGTTAACATTACTTAGAAGAGGGACAAAGAGTGGAAACATTTTATAAGTACAATACAGAGACAGATATAGATGGTGAGCGTAATTGACAGAGAAAAGGCGATGGAGGTACAGAGAGAGAGAGAGAGAATAGGCTAATACAGATATAGGATCTTAATCTGATCACTTTTGTTTCAGGAAATGCAAACTTAGTTTATTTGAGTTTTAAAAAGGCTTCTAAAGTTGTACATTTCCACTTAGACATTTCAGACTTGATTTGCCCTAACAAAAAAGTTATCAAACCCTACAAAAATGTTCATTAATTATAATCCACATAATAATTCACATTTCCTGTTGCTCAAGGATAATTTTCCTGCTGCAGCATACTTGCTCAAATTAAGATCCTACATATGTACATTGAGATGGTTAAAGGGTCTTGCCCATAGAGATCCTGTGAAATTACTAATATTAATATTCTAAATTACTTGTTTTCTAATTCTTAATTACATGGTCTTACCCCACAACCACCTCGTGGACCTTCTGCAGGCCCAATCCCTCCACCCTGAACACAACACCCCTCAGTTTATGTGGCAGAGGGTTGGTGAACGTGATCTTGGCTGCCATCTCCTTACCCACCACCGCGTTCCCTACAGGCTGAGGAAACAAACACAACATCATACTTTACAGTGCTACTGTTTATCTGTGCAATGACATCTGTATGCAATCTGTGCCATGGCCGCAGACATCTGTACTACTTAATTTCTATGGCATTGCATTTGGTTTGGTATTTAAATAGAGGCTGAGGAAAAAAATATTATGAGAGAAGTGAACATAACCAGCATACTGTATACAGTACTGCTGCTCAAATACAACTTTTAAAATTCAAATTTGAACCTTACAGGAATCCAGTAACAGGTTGTGCTAAAGATAAGTTGCGTCTTACCTCGATGTTGAGGTCAGGTGTGCGGAGCCTGAAGTTGTTCTGAGTGGCCAGGACCTGCTGGGTCTCAGAGACCCGTCCAGACAGAGTCAGCATCAGAGCAGCCTGGTCCACCAGCTGGTTCTGGTAGCTCTGGTAGGGTAGGACCCACTGCATGGTCTTCACTGAGGAGGAAGAGACAGAGAGATTATTACACATTCTACAGTACAGGGGTCAGATGAGAGGATCGAGGATACACATGTGGTAACAGCAAATGCAGAGTGGAGATAATATTGTTACTGAGCTGAAAAGGTGCTAGCGGGGCATGGCTTGAGATAGAAGTTGCTCTAAACCACAGATCTAGGATCAGATTACTCCAACCCTAACAATTAGGAGTATTACAATTATCTGACCCTGTAGCAGTGAGGGGCAACATCCTCCACCTATTCCACTTGCTAACTCACCTTCATTGGGCATGAGTTCCACAGGTAGTTTGTCCTTTTGGACGATTCCCTTCAGCACCCCGGTGTAGTACATGACGGCCACCTGGCTGTGGAGTGTGGTCCTGCGCGGCTGGGAGCTCAGGTTGGTCACCACGATGGTCAGCTGGGCATCTTCCCCCATACGAGGCCCCTCCCCCTCCATCTTCACCTCCACGCTCACGTCCTCCGCCATCGGCGTGGAGTACACATCAGGCCTGGTGCCATAGCGACTGGCCGTCTCCACAGCGATGCGCTCCTCCTCTGATTCTGGTTGGTGGGGGGAGCAGAGAGGGGTGATTATTGGTTGTGTGTGCTAATTTCAATCAAAAACCTAATTAGCCCAGATAACGACAGAGTGTGATTATCTGACTATCCCTGATGTCTGTATAGAAAATGCTGTTCATTGCAGGTGCATAGGGGTATGGTTGTTGTTTTCGACCGTGTGGCACCTTCCTCATAGCCTGATCTCGGATGATCTTGTCTTTACAGGTGAGTGATGTCACCATTACAACCTGAGTGTTATTCCATGTGTATACGGTTACCAAGCGACCCTCTGACAGTGTACTGAAGTGTATGATGACATCACTGTACCTTCGGTGTGTTTGTACAGGTGTGTGATGTCAGCACGTTCATCAGAGCCCACAGCTTTGGTGCTGATGAAGTGTCCCACAGCCTTCTTCTCACTGTGGATCTGAGTGAAGGTACCATCCAGGTTCCTCTGCCAGTATATTTTATCACTGTTCACCTGAGGAGACACACACAGAGACAGACAGGCAGGATCAGCACCATTCATTAATGGAGAAACAGGGAAAGAGTGTGATATTTGATAAAAGATAGGAAGTAATCCAATGTCAGTTTTGCCATTTATTCTCTAATTTGAGATCTGTGATGGGTGAGATGAAGTATGGCTCAATTGGTAGATCATGGTGCTTGCAACGGCAGAATTGTGGGTTCGATTCCCAGGGCCACGCATGACTCTAAGTCGCTTTGGATAAAAGCATCTACTAAATGGCATATTTTATTATTACTATTCACAACTGATCATAGATCTTCAACCATCTCCTACCCATAGAGCTCACCTCAGCGAAGATGAAGGGCGTGTCATATTTGTGGTAGACCTGGCCAGTGCGGATGGCGGTGACAGAGGCGGGGCCACAGCGGAAGGTCCCCTGGCTGGTCTCCTGGGGGGTGGAGTCTAGCGCCTGCCAGCCACCCATACCAGAAGGAAGGTCTGGCCTGGACATCCAACAGTCGTTCCATACATGGAAGTTCCTACACAGAGAAGGGGGTTGTTGGGATTACATAGTTAGGAGTATCTGACCGCAAGGCGCTACAGAGGGTAGTGCGTATGGCCCAGTACATCACTGGGGCCAAGCTTCTTGCCATCCAGGACGTCTATGCCAGGCGGTGTCAGAGGAAGGCCCTAAAAATGGTCAAAGACTCCTGCCACCCTAGTCATAGACTGTTCACCCGGCTGCCGCACGGCAAGCGGTACCAGAGCGCCAAGTCTAGGTCCAAAAGGCTCCTTAACAGCTTCTACCCCTAAGCCATAAGACTGCTAAACAGTTAATCAAATGGCTACCCGGACTATTTGCATTGATCCCCTTTTTTTATGCTGCTGCTACTCGCTGTTTATTATAATATAATATGCCATTTAGCAGACGCTTTTATCCAAAGCGACTTACAGTCATGTGTGCATACATTTTTACGTATGGGTGGTCCCGGGGATTGAACCCACTACCTTGGCGTTACAAGCACCATGCTCTACCAATTGAGCTACAGAGGACCACCCTATGCATAGTCACTTTACCCCTACCTACATGTACATATTACCTCAATTACCTAGACTAACCTGTACCTCCGCACATTGACTCGGTACCGGTACCTCCTGTTTATAGCCACGTTATTGTAATTTTATTGTGGTACTTCTTTTTCTTACTTTAGTTTATTTTGTATTTTTTTTAAAGCAAATATTTTCTTACTTACTTTAAAAAAAATTCTGCATTGTCGTTTAAGGGCTTGTAAGTAAGCATTTCACAGTAAGATCTACACCTGTTGTATTCGGCGCATGTGACAAATACAATTGGATTTGAGTTTTACCGAAGACGTTTATTTCTATAACTCAAGCCTGGTGTTTCTTTTATAGAGTATGATTTGTGGCAAGGCATTTCTGTGTATTTAGAGCAAAGCCAAATATACACTCATGTGGCCTGGATTGAAGTGGAGAACTCTTAACCTGTGGCAGGTTAGATGCACTTGACTTGATCAGGAAAAACCGGGCCCTACTTAAAGTGGATGATAACTCACCAAACAGAGTCAGAGTTGAGGTGGTCCAACGGCTCCATATTCTCATCAAAATACACGTCTGTGGTAAGTGAGACGTCTGTGTCGTGGGCGGACTGGAAGTTTGTTACACTACGACACGGTATACCCAGACACCTGAGCACTGAGAGATGGAGAGAAGGAGGGTGGGTGGGGAGTGGGGGGGAGTGAGAGAGTGAGACCAGGTTAAATAAGAGTGTATGATAAGTCAAGTAACCATAGATTGAGCAAAAACAAAGCCAGGGATGAACAACATTTGCACAGATATGAAAAGCAAGCAAACAGGAGACATCACACAGCCTTGCAAGGCCCAACATTGGCCAACACATTAATGGTGCGTGGGTCAACTCTTTGTTCACCCAAACCCGCCCGCAATTGTTAATAACCCATCCGCAACCGCCCGAATATATGTGATAAAGTGAAAATCTGAGGCCTCCACCCGACCCTAACCTGCTAATATAGAAAAAGGCTACAGTCAGAGACGGCGGAACTATTTTCTGACAGGGGGTGCAGGATTTCTTCCCCCGCCTGATTTAGATATGTTTCTGCTTATACTTTCTGACATTTTGGAAGGCTATTTGTTAGTCAACTTGTCTATAATAATTAGATACATGCAGCTTCTCTTCTGTCAATAGGCTGTATGTTGCCCTGGAAGACTAAATAAACCCTTGGTTACCAGGATAATGTCATAAATTGATAGAATGAATGCTTCAATCTAGTTGACATCGGTAAAGTTCTCTCTGTCATCTCTGTTTCTTTTGCGGAGCAAAGATGTTTAGGGACCGTGGACGGGAAGTAGGGGTGCTGAGGGTGCTGCAGCACCCCCTGAAAAATCAGAATAAAAAATAAAGTCTTAATAAATAATATAAAAAAGTGTTGAAATGTAGTGCACTGAGCCTTTACTAGTCCTGTATTAGCGGACCGATATAGCGTCTGTAGCTCAGGCCCAAATACATTTTCTGTAGGCTATTTGGAGAGTGTACAGTTATAGGCCCTAAAGCTTAGGCTTATACACTCATGCCAGATAGCCTACAATAATGAAAGAAAAACCTCAATGTAGCCTATAGATATAAATTGCACAATAATTATATATTTATGGATTTTTTAAGGTATTGCTTTCTCTTTATTAAACCCACCCACCCTTCATCCACACAATATTTAATGACCCTAAACCCGCCTGCGGATATAACCACGGGGACTGCGGGTTATGAGTCAACCCGGGCATCACTACAACATACGGGCTTGTGTGTCTGTGACAAAAGTGGTAGGTATGAGAGGAATGTGGACGGGGAATTTTGGGTAGATATGAAGTATGGGGCCATTATCAGAGGCACTGCTGTGTTGCTCTGTGGTCAGCTACCGGGTGAGGGCCACCCTGACCTGTCACTATGAATGGTGTTCTGTTACAGACAGAAACTAATGAGAAAAGCATGATAAGACACCAGACACATAAGAGGACGTGATGGATCATGATATTGCCACTGTGTCTAGGTATGCAAAACACACATGTGCAGAAACTAGTATGCACACACACACACACACACACACACACACACACACACACACACCTGTGGTGGTAACGCCAGAGAAGACCCAGCACTGTCCGTATTTGACAGGCTGGCCTCCCTCCTTGTGGTATTTCATCAGGATGTCCGCACTGCCACTCCAGGCTGTAGGGGAAACTCCTCCTACATAGTTCCCTGACCAGTTTCCTGCCAGGACCCCATTGTCATCTGGGGAGTTGATCTGACGCCACGAAGGGAGAGAGCGAATTAGAAAGAGTCCATTTTGATTACAGTAGGATAAAGTATAGCAGGTGGTTTATTTAACCAGGTAGGTTATTGAGAACACAATATTTTTTACAATAATACAGTGATGGTAATGAAATTGACATCAGCATACCTCAGCATAATTCAGATCAATCGTTCATAAAGAAGATATGACACATGATATTACAGGTATAAATACATTGAAAAGTATGTGGAGTATGAGAAATATGTTGTACGTTCACTACTGAATGTCATATAAATTGACCGGTAACTCACCATGGCAGATATGACTCTGACCACGTTCACAGAGTCTCCTCTACCAGACGGCGGGATCTCACACTTCTCCAGCACATAGAGACAGGCCTCCAGCATCCCCTCAAGGAACTGGACAGCACAAACAGGAGGAAACAGACAGACAGGGTGAGATGGAAGAGAGGACGGCGGTCAAAACAATGAATAAACAGAGGCTGCGTCTTAAATGACCGGGGTTTGCAAAATCACTGGAATTTGCAGAAAGATTTCATCGCAACCACACTTGATTTCCTCCCTGTCTAATACCTGTCCATAGTTCCATGTGCGAGCTCCAATCTGTGTCTCTGTACCGTAGTAGAGTCTTCCTGTGTCATTCAGCACATACTCCTTCTTCTCCTCTTCGTCATCCATGTACACTGTGTCATCTAAGGAGAGAGAGAGCGAACCAGGGGACAAAGATTAGGTATACATTTATCATTTATTCACTGCTGAAGTTACAGGTGAAATGTGTACGTATTTGTGTGACATTTCTTAAATGTTCTCTCATTCACAGTCCACATCATCGTCATATCTGTCTTACTAAATTACTATTTCGATAAACACCAGGGAGAGTCAGTGTAGCCAGGAGAGGGTTAACTGTTACTAGCACAATGTCTGGAGCTCACAGAGGGGCCGGCTCATTTAGAGGAAAAGGGCTGCATTGTATACATTTCATCTCAACAAGTGCTCAGAGAGAATGAGAGAGAGAGAGAGAGAGAGAGAGAGCATGAGAGAGAGAGAGCATGAGAGAGAGAGAGAGAGAGAGAGAGAGAGAGAGAGAGAGAGAGAGAGAGAGAGAGAGAGAGAGAGAGAAGATTACCAGCTGTTGTACAGTAATTGTGGACTGTCAACTTTTATGACAGGAAAGGATAGATTGGGCTACCTGCCAAACCGTGCAATTAAAGACAGATAGCGCTATTCAAACACAGCGCTTTCCATAAGGCAGAACATATGTCTTAATCAGATTAAACAAAGCATATTTAAATCAATATAACCAGTTTCAATTTATTTTCATTTTACCAAGGATGTGCATGTACATCCATAGTTTTAATGAATCAAAACGCACATCCTGAAAGTGTTTTAACTCCAGAGACCTCAAAATACAGGTTGTGATTGAACAGTTAGAGACAGTATACGGTAAAGCATGCCAACGTCAATTGGAAAGACCAGAGTCCCAAGCAAATGGATGTGTGGTCTTGACGCGCAGCCAGAGAATGAAGAAAACATTCTGGGTCCCAATGGGTCAAGCAGTGACCTTTTTTGTGATGGATAGCAGGACGTTATTGGGCAGTGAGCTACGTGTCCCCCTATGTGCACATTTACATTAGTGCTGTTCTGAGAGACCAAGAGGATAAATTGTAGTCCCAGAACCAGCCTCCTCTGTGTCTGCTCTGTAACACTTGGCCCTGGTGTTTGAATTGGGCTAGAGGTCTGTTCCTATTGCAATGGAATAACAACATTGAAACATTACACCTATATACAGCATCGAAGCTGAATTGTGATTCAATGCAATATCTTTGTTTGCCCCACTTGTTTCACACTTTAGGTGAGCATGGGTGGGCGGGGTTGGCACGTCAGTGGCAATGGTCCTAAACATGCAAATCCCGCCCACCCAGTTTGCCAGGCGAGATAATCCAAGTGCAACTTTTGTCTCTCTCTCTTTTTCTCTCTACCTTCTGCTGTCCCACAACATTCCACTCATCCTTACCTTCACACCAGGGGTTGAACAGCATGACAACGTTTTTGCTGGGGTCGTGTGTGATGGCCGCCTCCCGCTTAGGGCACTGCACCATCACGGTTAGCTTGTACTGGCCAATCACGGCTTTGGGATGCGAGTTGACGGACAGCTTGATCCTGTTGCCGTTCTGCTTCATGATCTTGGCCTCCCAGCTGTCATCTGCCAGCTCCTCCACCAATTGAATTATGATGTGCGTGCCCTTAGACACCATGGGGAGGGGTCCTGTCAGACAAATTAATAAACGATTAGTTTACATTTATGGTTATCAGGGTAGTAAAACAAAGCTTCAGGTTGATTTAAGCAGTGTAATAACAGTGTAATAAGTTTAATAACAGTTTAATAACAGTTTAATAACAGTTTAATAACAGTGTAATATCGGTATAATAACAGTGTAGTGATGCCTGAAACCCACCTCAACAAACTATGCAATGTGTTCATAAATTCACTCTGGAGGTCTCCTACGATTTCAGAGCACTCTCGTCTGAGTGTGCCAGAGCGCAGAATAACTGATGAATTTACTAATGATTAACACCCGTTGAATATGGCCGGTGTCGGTAAACGTCAGCACAAAAGCGTAATTAAATTGTTGCCAACAGCACAGTTACAGTCACCAACGCTCTGGATAACATGAAAACAGCCTAACCAGCTCTGCTAGGGTGAGTAAAATGGTCAGAGTGAGGTGTTCTCTCATTTTTGTCTGGAAGTAGCTAGCAAGCTAGCCAATGTCAGTTAGCTTGGGTGGGTGCTTGACTACTGTTGTGAGGTCAGAACGCTCGGTTCAACCCTACTCCTCGGCCAGAGCATCCAGTGTTGGCTCTGAACGCACCGAGAGCGAAACGCTCTGAATTTACAAATGGACAATCTGTCAATGCTCTGAATTTACGAACGCCCAGAGCGCACTCTGAGCGCACTCTGGCACTCCAGATTGAATTTAGGAACCCACCCCAGATAACAATGAAGATTGATTGTTCTCTTACCTCTGATGGAAACTGTGCCAACCCACATTGCATTCATACCTTTCCTGAATATGTCAAAGGGCTCACTCTTCACTCACAAAAGGACCACACTAAACCAACATTTAAATGTGCATACAGTAAAATATACTGATATTTTATACAAATGCGCATACACATGCACACACCCTTACCAGCTGCACTTGACTGGCAGGAAATCACATTCCTCACGTAACCATGGGGATGGCAATTCCAATACCATCACACTCCACTTGGCAAATGCCAATGCTGACTATTTATACAGAGTGAATGAGTGTGTTTACGTGTGCTTGCTTGCCTGTTCTTGCTTGCCTGTTCTTGCATGTGTGAAAGAGCAAGAGAAAGCTCTGCAAACCAGTGAAACACTTGAATTGAATTGAAGAGACTAAATAAGGTAAGATAGTGGAATGACAGTGGTCTGTTTTACTGGCAATGTGTAGTCTGGTATGCAGTAAAGTGAGAAAACCACAGTCTCCACATCACTGTAATTCATAGTCTGCTGTCCCAGAGAGTGACAAACCAAGTGTAAACCACTAGTGTGTCACTGTCATGCAGTTCAGTTCAGATGAGGTAAACACAGTGTAGTACTGTGAAAACTCCACTGAGAGCATAGACACAGAACAAGTATGAGGTAGGCCTAAAATGTGGGCGGGGTGCGTTCGGCTTCTTAAAATATCTAGTATGCTGTTTGGTTTTGCTATCTCTCTATCGATCTCTCGATATTCTCCTCTCGAAGAAGATCTATCTCTTGTTTTCTCTCTCCTCTCTCTCTCTATCTCCTCTCCTCTCTCTCTCTCTCGATCTCTCTACTATCGTCTGCTCTCTCTCTCTCTCTCTCTCTCTATATCATCTCTCTCTATCTCTCTCTCGCTCTCGCTCTCTCTCTCTCTCTCTCTCTCTCCTCTTCTCTCTCGTCTCTCTCTCTCTCTTCTCTCTATCTCTCCCTTCTCTCTCTCTCTTCTATCTCTCTCTGCGCTTGTTGAGAGGAAATCTATCCAAACTGTCTCTGTCCTAGCATTGTTAGTAAGGCCAGCCGCTGAATCCTTATTAGTCTCCATAGTTTTCATTCCTTATGACGGAAAAATTGCATTTCTCACTTTGCAAGTATACATAGTGTGCAGGAGACCCTGTTCTCTTCCAGACCACCAAGGTTTTGTCAGACACACTCAGGAAGCCATTCAAGGCAACAACTAGAGAGCATCCTACTTTCCTATCATATTATTTCCTCTTCTTAGAATGAATCATAGTTGTGAAAGTGAATTAAAGAAGATATGTTTTTTTTCCTGCCAATATGACTGATAGGAAACTGGGCTATATATAGGGCCTGAGTAATAGGGTTTTGACCCTTCACCTCTGCAGCAGTTGGAATGAAAGAAAAGGAGTTATTCCTGGTCAGCTCACAAGGTCAGGAAATACTCCTGGCCCCATCAAAACAGCAATATGTGGTGGAGTAAAAGTAATGGCATTACCTGAGTGCTTTAGCCATAATATACTACCAAAGTTATAAATACCAGCAGGGACTCTGCTAGCAGATCATCCTGAATGAATCGTGAAGAATGATGAGTGAGACAGTTACAGATGCACAAATATCATACCCCCAAGACATGCTAACCTCTCACCACTACAATAACAGGGGAGGTTAGCATTTTTTGGGGGGGTATGATATTTGTGCATCTGTAACTCTCTAACTCATAATTATTCAGGATTCATTCAGGATTGCTGTAATTTCTAAACGGTTCACCTGATATGGCTGAAAATACCCTCAAATTAAAGCTGTCAGGCTGCACATTGTATCATTTCAAATTCAAAGTGCTGGAGTACAGAGCCAAAACAAAGAAAAAAAAACGCACTGTCCAAATACTTTTGGAGCTTACTGTATGTCTTAAGCAGTGTAAATAATGTGAACAATTTTCATGTCACAGCTCCCTGTGTTCCCTTCCTGTGTCTGGGGAGCCAGGAAACAGCTGGACACGTCCTACAACTCTATATTATATTATGTGCTGCTTTATGTAAAGGACATACTGTACTGTACCAAGGATAACAAAATAGCCTTTTTGTGAGAGCCCTCAAAGTGAAACTGACCTGTCTTGAGGTCCAGGTGGAGTTTGTCTGTATTGGAGTTGAAAGGTCGCGACAGGTCCAGTTCTATCTGGAACGTCTGGCCACGTCGGATGATGAGCTCATTGCCATGATAAAGGTTGGTGTGATGCTCCAGGCGGTTCTGACCCGTCTTAGAGCTCAGTAGATCCACCGAGCGCACTGACAACATCAGCTCTGAGAGAGAGAGAGAGAGATTTAAAAAGTTAATGCAATGGTCAGCGCTTACTGCTTATACAGTGGCTTGCGAAAGTATTCACCCCCCTTGGCATTTTCCTATTTTGTTGCCTTACAACCTGGAATTAAAATGTTTTTTTTGGCATGCCTGATTTACACAACATGCCTACCACTTTGAAGATGCAAAATATTTTTTATTGTGAAACAAACAAGAAATATGACAAGAAAACAGAAAACTTGAGCGTGCATAACTATTCACCCCCCCAAAGTCAATACTTTGTAGAGCCACCTTTTGCAGCAATTACAGCTGCAAGTCTCTTGGGGTATGTCTCTATAAGCTTGGCACATCTAGCCACTGGGATTTTTGCCCATTCTTCAAGGCAAAACTGCTCCAGCTCCTTCAAGTTGGATGGGTTCTGCTGGTGTATCAATTGGATTGAGGTCTGGGCTTTGACTAGGCCATTCCAAGACATTTAACTGTTTCCCCTTAAACCACTCAAATGTTGCTTTAGCAGTATGCTTAGGGTCATTGTCCTGCTGGAAGGTGAACCTCCGTCCCAGTCTCAAATCTCTGGAAGACTGAAACAGGTTTCCCTCAAGAATTTCCCTGTATTTAGCGCCATCCATCAGTCCTTCAATTCTGACCAGTTTCCCAGTCCCTGCCGATGAAAAACATCCCCACAGCATGATGCTGCCACCACCATGCTTCACTGTGGGGATGGTGTTCTCGGGGTGATGAGAGGTGTTGGGTTTGCGCCAGACATAGCGTTTTCCTTGATGGCCAAAAAGCTCAATTTTACTTTCATCTGACCACAGTACCTTCTTCCATATTTTTGTGGAGTCTCCCACATGACTTTTGGCGAACACCAAACATGTTTGCTTATTTTTTCTTTAAGCAATGGCTTTTTTCTGGCCACTCTTCCGTAAAGCCCAGCTCTGTGGAGTGTACGGCTTAAAGTGGTCCTATGGACAGATACTCCAATCTCCGCTGTGGAGCTTTGCAGCTCCCTCAGGGTTATCTTTGGTCTCTTTTTTGCCTCTCTGATTAATGCCCTCCTTGCCTGGTCCGTGAGTTTTGGTGGGCGGCCCTCTCTTGGCAGGTTTGTTGTGGTGTCATATTCTTTCCATTTTTTAATAATGGATTTAATGGTGCTCTGTGGGATGTTCAAAGTTTCTGATATTTTTTTATAACCCAACCCTGATCTGTACTTCTCCACAACTTTGTCCCTGACCTGTTTGGAGAGCTCCTTGGTCTTCATGGTGCCACTTGCTTGGTGGTGCCCCTTGCTTAGTGGTGTTGCAGACTCTGGGGCCTTTCAGAACAGGTGTATATATACTGAGATCATGTGACAGATCATGTGACACTTAGATTGCACACAGGTGGACTTTATTTAACTAATTATGTGACTTCTGAAGGTAATTGGTAGCACCAGATCTTATTTAGGGGCTTCATAGCAAAGGGGGTGAATACATATGCATGCACCACTTTTCCGTTATTTATGTTTTAGAATTTTTTGAAAGAAGTTATTTTTTTCATTTCACTTCACCAATTTGGACTATTTTGTGTATGTCCATTACATGAAATCCAAATAAAATCCATTTAAATTACAGGTTGTAATGCAACAAAATAGTAAAAACGCCAAGCGGGATTTTTTCCTATGGTGTTACTATTATGAACGATGCTGTTGCTTCATGTAACCTACCTTCCAGCTCGTTGTCTCCAGTGTGGGGCTGAGGGGGCTCGGGGAGCGTGGCCGGTTTCACCCCGTCGTCTGTGACGACTGTGTCTGTGATGTCATACGAGCTGCTCTGGCGTCGACAGCAGCAGGGGCACATCTTCTGAAACCAACGGCGACAGCCACCCTGCTCCTTAGAATTAGATTCCGCCTCCTTCTGGTTGGTTACCTGCACTGTGGTCGGGGCGACGCCATGGAAACGGCCCACATCAGAACCACTCACAGTCAATCGGGCTCCTGGCATTCTGAGAGGGGTGATACAGAAGGTAAAGTTAAAGATGAGATTATGAGACTGTTAGATTGGTGATACAGACAGAGATAAATAGTAGTCATATTGGAGATTGCAGAGTTCAAGAAATGAAAGGATAGAAAACAAGAGCAATTGATTGAGAAAATCTATAAAATAACATCAAATGAAGATACAAAAGTATGTAAACAATTCAATGTTAGAGAGGTTAAGTGCACACATATTACTTGGACAACACTGCACAATACTCCACTGAGAACGATAGTAACATTACTATTCCTATACTTCAACCGCTATTCCCCCAATGTAAACCTCTCTTCTGCATGTTCTCTCCGCTTACATATTTTCTACCGCTCTTTTCCTCCCTCCATTCCTGAAACCAGCTTGTTTTCTTTTTAATCTTTTCCCACAATTACCACATTCATGACTCACACTCTTTACAACAGTCTGCCTTTCCCAAAGCATGCTGGGGTAGTTAGCATTTTGTCTCAGGTCAGACACACTCCCCAAATTCCCCAAACATCCTAACATACCTCTTGACTCACTGATTGATACCGGACCCTACAGCCCCACCTAGCCACAGATGTATGTGTGTGTAATCTCTAGATATGATGGGAAACAATAATCATATTGTCATGACAACGCAGAGCATTTAATTAATCCCAGTTACATCTAGTTTAGTTCACCTGTTTAGACCGCCATTCATATAACTGAAAGGTTAGGGGAACCATGAGACTATGATTCTGAGAGGATCCAGGCTACAACTTCAGAGGTCAGGCTTCAACTCTAAAAATAATGGGGGTTCAATGTCAAATGTCAGAGGTCAGGTGAGTTAAAAACAAGAGGAGCATGAGGCATGTTCAAAGAAGACCAAGAGGAGTTTCCAACCATGGTCTCCATCTGTACTTTATCGGCTGTGTCTAAACATAAAAGCCACTTTGATGCGTGTAGAGGCTAGTGAAAAAGTTTCACTAACCTTTTGATAATTAAGACTGCTAAGAGAGCAAAACAGAGAGAACATAGGGAGAAGTTCAGAGGCAGTAGAGAGAACAGCGAGCGGGTGTAGAAGAGGGGTGTGTGGTCATGGTGGGCTTAGTAACTATAACACTGTGTGTGTGTGTGTGTGTGTGTGTGTGTGTGTGTGTGTGTTTGTACGCGTGTGTGTGTGCTAAATGCATGCCTGTGTGAGTAGCTGATTTCGAAACTCCTCAGTCCATATGCTGGTCCAATAATGTTCCCCTCCCTTACAGTCATCCAAATGTCCTAATAATTGCTATGTAGCAATGATGACAAATGCAAATATTGATTGCAACATTGGTCCCCACCCAAAACCTCTCCCTCGGGTCCCCACCCATAACCTCTCCCTCTCTAGCACCACTCCCCAATGTTTCCATGGCCCCTGCCCCGCTCCCTGTTTCCCTCCCACACAGTGGGTTTGTTTTGGCAGTTAGCACCTTGCTAGCACGGTTGGAATGCAATTCAATGCACTTTCCCAACAACAACACCCAAATACTATTACATTTTACTCATTTAGCAGATGCTCTTATCCAGAGCGACTTACAGTTAGTGAGTGCATACATTCTTTTTTTGTCATACTGGCCCCCCGTGGGAATCAAACCCACAACCCACAATGCTCTACCAAGTGAGCTACACCCCTGCCGGCCATTCCCTCCCCTGGACGACGCTGGGCCAATTGTGCGCTGCCCCATGGGTCTCCCGGTCGCGGCCGGCCTTAGACCACTGCGCCACTCGGGAGGCTATGAGTTGAAGCCTGCTTCCCCAACACACATATAAAACGTCACTCAAGTTGATGCCTGATGTAGAAAACACCCACTATCAGCATTTGTTTGCAAATGAAATGTCATATAACATACAACATATATCCACTTGTTTGAGAACAAAGGTCATTAGACCACATGAGAGGTGAAATGATGGCAGAAGTCATAGGATAAAGGTAAAAATGCCACATGATTTTTCATTGGTTGTTTTGCATAGAACCTTCCCACAACTTTCTGGAAATGGTGCAGTATAGTTGCTTGGCTTTGGAACATTCTCAGCACATTTAAGGAACTTTATTTCATTACTTTAACAGAAGGTTTTCTAAAAATTGTTATAGGAACGTTCTCCAATTTTTCAGAGAACGTTAAGAAACAACGTTCTTCTGTGGGAATTTCAATACTTCAGCATAATGTTTCCAACAGGTTTCCTCGTAGTTCTATTTAAAGTCATGTTCTCAAATTGTTCCAAGAACGTTAAGAAACAACGTTCTTCTGTGGGAATTTCAATACTTCAGCATAATGTTTCCAACAGGTTTCCTCGTAGTTCTATTTAAAGTCATGTTCTCAAATTGTTCAGAGAATGTTAAGAAAACATTCCATAAAACCACAAGAAAACTTTAGTAACGTTCAGAGAACGTTTTAAGAATGTTATTTAAAAACATATACAATCCGTTCTCAGCATCAACAAAACTCTCTCTCTCCTCTATCTTGTTAAGTGTGTTCAGGTGTGTTGGCCGCACCCACTAATCGGCCACACCTGATCCTAATGAGAGCTTGTTTCCTTTGAAATGGTGTCTGTTTGAATGGACAAAAATGAACAGCTTTGTATGCGTAAAAAACATGGCATGCTAGCTCATTCCTGGTGGCACAGTGGAACCATTCCATGGATAGAGAATAGAAGATTGTTTGAATCTGATGCCATGTCACAATAAAAAATAACTGAGGATACATGGAAATTAATTTCCTTAGGCATTAATCATGCAAACAATCTGTGCTTTACAAGCTAGCAGTGTTATTAAAAGTCTTATTGAAACATTCAGGGAGAGTTAAGGAGTCATTGTTAATAAGTATTTATTTTTCTTAATTGACTTGCAGAGTTAAATAAAGCTTAAATAAAATAAATAAATAACATCTCCCAGGAAAACATTAAAGGAACCATATTCAAATGTGCTCAGAACCTCCCTGCAACCTAAAAATGTACTTTACCAAAACAGGCAAAATGTTCACTTCAGTTCTCAGACCTTTATAGCTTGGTTCCCAGGAAATGTATAGCTTGGTTCCCAGAACCAATGGGAAATTTAAAAAAACGTATGTTCCCACAACTTCCAAAGAACCAAATGTGCTAGCTGGGCAACATGATGTGAGGGAACAGGACAAACTTATAGGAGGGAGAGAAAAATGTGTTTCAGGTTTTTTCAGCATGGTATCTGAAATATTTATGTGGACATGTGTTTGCAATTGGGAATCCCTCATTTTAGGAGCAGAGGAGCCTGGTACCACTGGAGCCAATAGGCCTAACACCCATCACCTACCCACCAAAGGTAATATTGCTCGGTTGAGCTAATAACTCTGTCTATCTACCATTTAAGTGCCTGGTATTTTGCTTGATCAATAGGCTACATGAGCACTTTCCTCTGCCTGCCTTTGATGAGCTTCTCACTCAAACATGGCATGCTAGCTCGTGCCGCATCTAACGGTTCGCAAATCAGCAAAACGCATCCCGACCGAGAAAGTTGTGAAAAACCTAATCACATGAGTAGCCTACCACAGTGTAACTATTTCTCAAGAGTTCTACGCGCATTTGATAAATAGCTAATCTAAAAATGAATTAATGAAAAATTCCTTACTTTGTCTTGGGTGATGGCTTCTTGATTCACCAAAAAAGTTTGAATTACGTTTTAAAGTTTTCAATGGATCTCCGTTCTTTTATTATTAGGTTTAACAGTTTTTCTTGCCAGTTCCTCTGTCTCTTATACACGCTTCTTAGATCTGGGTTTATATGCTCTTTAGGAATGCAAACGGCATTTGACTTGACACACCCTCTGTTTCAAGCCCCCCCTACCCCAGCCGCTCCAGCCACCGTTAGCACAGTAGTAGGCTATATCAAACGAACCATCGTAGTCTCTATCCAGGATGTCCTGTGTGGATTATCGAGGCACAGCACAGCAAACCCGCAGGTTACGCAATAGCAGGCGCGATTGTTTCCAATGCAGGAAGGGAGTGAAAATGCAGTGAAATACAGTGGTGGGAATAAAAGAAAGGCATGTGGTAAGAAGAAAAAAAACGACATCATCAACAGTGGGTGGACTGTGATGATCATATAGGAGCAAAGGCAAGGTCAGAATAAAACCAAGTCGATCACCGTTGGATACAGTGGCAGCTGAATGTAAACTGTCCATTCTAAACTAATTCAAGGGATATTTTAGCATCTCCATGTCCCAATTTAACCCCTGCCCGAGTGGCTGCTTGACATAATACTGTAGGCCTTCTCATTCTCTCTCTCTGGACAATTCGGATATGATTCATCACTGTTTCCTAATGCATGTAAAGACAGAGAGTGAGCCACACACACACACACGCCCCCCTACAAAGGTTAGTATGGTCTCATTCCTTGTCAACTTCCCTTAATGACTTTCGGTTCTCTTTTACATTACACCCCTGCCCCACTTTTTCATAACTCATGACCTCACAAGCTGGACCCCATCTGTGGTACGAGTTCCTCTGAGTTCCTATCGTAATCCTCTCAGAAGGTCATATCCTGGATCAATATCCTTTTTGGTCATGGGGCTGAAATGTCAAGCTGAGGCAAATCGAGAGTTTGAGCAGAATAGAAATAAAGAAAAGAAAACTAATGTTGGTCTTTCAGGATTACATTCAGTCAGAAACAATGACACATGATGACACGAGCACATCTAATTTATTAGCCTGTACTGTATGTTTTTGTCAAGACCTGTGTCCAAGGTGTGCTCTCTGAAAACTCTTCCCACGTTCAACTCATCAGGTAAATGAAAACACCTGTCACCATGTAAGTTCCAAGTCTCACGGTTATGTTCCCACCCACTGGTTGAATCAACATTGCTTCCATGTCATTTCAATTAAATTAAATTGAACCAACGTGGAATAGACAATAAATTGACGTCTGTGCCCAGTGGGCAGAGAGTCGTCCTCATCCCAGAGACCAGTCATGTAGCAGTGGAGGGGAAAGTATGACCTGGCAGGTCTGTGTTTTACTCTATCATCAGGGACAAACTGCCATGGTTGCTGTGGGAGACCAGAGCCTGCCCTATCCTGTCTAAACCTGCCCTTGCAGAGTGATAAATAATATGTTTAACATCATGTTGACGTGATTGAATGTGATGAAGAAGGTAATAATCAGGATGCACTGAATAGATTCCCTTTACGATCAATTATTATGACCAGAGAGCAATGGCAAGGGAAAAATGCAGAACCTTTGTCCTACAAAATCTCACAAAACCACCCATTCTTTAAATCTCAGGTTTATACTCACATGTAAAAAAAAAAAAAAAATGCTTGTCCTACTACAGTACACCTAACACAGTCTAGAAATAGAATTGTTGTGATTGAGGCTGAGGGTCAAGAGTCACGATTGGTATGTGCCGTATTGACACTGTGTTATATAATTACTACTGCAGCTGAAGGTGAATGGAAAGTAAATGTTTTTTTCGGTGGTCAACGGCAGCTCAAACGTCTTCGGAATCAGGGTGTGGCTATGACCCGAAAGATGAAAGCTGACCGCTACCTCAAATCTACTGCCGATAATCTGAATAATCCCTCCAAATTTTGGCAAGTAGTGAAAGGTTTGGAGTGCAAAAAAAGATGCATAACTTCCTAAACAACTGCTGGTAGACTCACAAGTGGTAACTGAGAAAACCTGTATTTTGAACTCTTTTAATCAGCATTTCCTTGACGCAGGCATATTATTTGATAGGGTTAAATGTCAAAATGAGCCCCCTGTGAAATGACCTGATACCCCTGTCTACTCCTTCTCCAGGTTCTCCTTCTCACCCTTCTCTGTCTCAGAGGTGCGTAGAGCCCTGAAGGCAATTGATGTCAAAAAAATCCCCTGGACCTGATGATCTAGACCCCCGCCTACTACAACTGGCTGCAGACATAATCACTATCCCCTTAACATGCATCTTCAACCTCACCTTAGAAAGGAATGAAATCCACAAACTATAGAAATCAGCATATTTGTCCTTCCTCTTTTGGAAGGAGGAGATCCCACTCTACTGAACAACTATCGGCCAATATCTAAATTGTCTGTTTTGGCAAAAGTAGTCCCTAGCCAATAAACAGCTTATGGTCTACCTTCAGGAAAACAACATTCTGAGTGGTATGCAATCAGGTTTCAGGTCAAGCCACAGCACTGTGACAGCAACCTTGAAGGTTTTGAACAATATCCACTGTGCCCTGGATAAGAAGTTACATTGTGTATCTGTGTTCATAGACTTTTGACATTGTCGACCTTACTGTCTTTGTGCAGGGATTACTGGTCATGCTATGGAGTGGTTTGTGAACTACCTGTCAAATCAAACCCAGTGTGTTAAGGCAGATTGTTGTACACCATAGAGCTGCGCTCGGGTGTGCCTGAAGGATACATTTTAGGTCTCCTATTGTTTATTACCTATCCCTTATTTTACCAAGAACACATTATCATTTACAGCAATGACCTTAGGGAATGGTTACATGAGAGAGGAATGAGACAATTGGAAGCTGGGGATGATTAGGTGGCTATGATGGTATGAGGGCCAGATTAAGGAATTTAGCCAGGACACCAGGGTTAACACCCCTACTCTTAGTGCCATAGGATCTTTAACAACCACAGAGAATCAGGACACCAGTTTAACATCCCACCTGAAAGACGGCACCCTACACAGAGCTATGTCTCCAATCACTGCCCTGGCGCATTGGGATTTTTTTTTTTAGACCAGAGGAAAGAATGCCTCCTACTAGCCCTCCAACACCCCTTCCAGCAGCATCTGGTCTCCCATCCAGGGACCGACCAGGACCAACCCTGCTTAGCTTCAGACGCAAGCCAGTAGTGCGATGCAGAGTGGTATGCTGCTGACGTATTGAGACAGCTGTTGTACATTTTTATGCGGAAGACATTATTCTCTACTCTAGTGGCAGCAGTTTGACTTTGGCTATTGAAAGAGCTCAAACAGCTCCAACTCGTACAGATTCTGTTGAATGGTGTTAAAAGCTGTTTGAGCATTTTCAAAAGCAATAGCTCAAACAGCCTTTAACACCATTTAACAGAATCTGTACGAGTTGGAGCTTGTTCTAAATTCCTCAAAATCAAAATGCATGGTATTTTCCAATAGTAAACACTGAAAACCATGTCACTACCTTGGAAGGACATTCCATAGAGTTTGGATGAGGTGACAACTTGAGCTTCACTACCCATGTAGAGAACCTTGTCAGGAAACTCAAGTTGCTTATTGGGTTTTATTAACGGCACAAAGCTTTATTTTCCTTTGCCGACAAAAGGGATTGATTCGTTGTACTTTTCTTTCTGTGTTGGACTATGGTGATACTATTTATGTTCAAGCTCTACACTGAAGGCTCTTGACTCTGTATATCATGCATCCTTCGTTTTGTCACTAACCACAGATGTCTAACTCACCATTATGAACTTTACAATGCTGTCGGATGGACATCGATAGCAACACGCAGACTCAAACACTGGTACATTCTTATTTATAAGGCCAGTTTAGGAAAACTGCCATATTATCTATCGTCTCTTCTAGCTTGAAACGAAAACACATACATGTACGTTTTCATTCTAATCTTGTTTTATGATAACAGTCCCGAACATTAGAACCGAGCATGGAAAAAAGTATTTTCATTACTCAGCCCCCCTGCTCTTGGAATTTCCTCCAAGCCAACCTAAAGCTACAGGACCTGGTCTCTAGAGGAGTTCAAAGGTCAAATAGATGGACAGGTTGGTTAGTTATGTAGCTGTTTCTAGTTGTCACCTGATATCACTAGTCAGCGTTGCCTTATGTAAGGAGGCATGTTGTTTTACTTGAAGTATTTCTGATACTGTAATGGCCCTGTAATTTCACGTATTGCACTATAACGTTTTTTGACTTGTGTCGTCTGCTTGTTCTTTACTGGCGTGTTGCTTTTTATACTGATGTATCTTCATCAGACTAACCTGTTTAAATAAATATTAAATAAAACAAGTACTGGGGAAAGGCCAAGCCAGGGTCAGAGCAGGTATTTCAGGTATTGATTCCATATCATCACTGGACTATTATACTGTTTCTCTAACAGGAAATGGGTTGGGTCAGGGGCAGGGCTGGTATAACATTGGCCATAGCCCATCACAGTCTGAAAGAGCTGAAATATTCACGTACTTCCTCAATATTTGAATAGAGCATATTGAAGAGCATGGGTATTTAGTCGTATCTTCGGAGCCCTGAAATTCATGAAACGGAAATGGGCAAACAATTAATTGTTTAATATAATGACTTATGCTATGTTGGGCTGGGTTTTAAGAAAACACAATGAAGAACATTCAATAGGAAGTGATGCCTTTGGTGATCATTTTGACAGACAGCCAAGAGGAGAGGGCCACATCAGAAATGTATGGAATATAAATATATTTTAGCGGCCTCCCGTGTGGCGCAGCAGTCTAAGGCACTGGATTGCTGTGCTTGAGGCGTCACTACAGACCCGGGTTTAATCCCAGGCTGTGTCACAACCGGCTGTGACCTGGAGTCCCATAGGGCGGTGCACAATTGGCCCAGCGTCGTCTGGGTTAGGGGAGGGTTTGGCCTGGGGGCTTTACATGGCTCATGGCGTTCTAGCGACTCCTTGTGGCTGGCAGGGCACCTGCAGGCTGATGTCAGTTGAACAGTTTCCTCTGACACATTGGTGCAGGTGGGTGTTAAGAAGTGCAGTTTGGCGTGTCATGTTTCGGAGGACGCATTACTTGACCTTTGCCTCTCCTGAGCCCGCTGGGGAGTTGCAG